ATATATATATACACATTTTTAATACATATTTCAAAAATTATACAAAAAAAAAATATTTATAAATAAATAATAATTAAAAAATTTGAGGCTACATAGAGGCAAATCAAGGCCTAAAATTAACCCATGAATTATAAAACACAGAAGAAAAAAAACATACTAATTCAAAGTGATTCCGTAGAATGAATGTGACTCTCCAGTGCTACACCATTTAGGATGATCCAGTTCATTGGAATGAATAAAACGTTCAACTCGGACCATTTAGGTGAGCATGAGTTATCCCTCAGCTCAGATACTAAAACAGAGATGTAGCATTTGGTTGCATTACTCGAACCAAATTGGTCCTTGTGGTGGATTGTGTGACATAAAACTCTTAAAACACAATCTTTCTTTCATCCCTTCCTCCCAAACCTGATTGTATTGTGTTCTTACTGGAGATAAAGAGACTGTAACGCTGTGGATTCTTCACTCTATTTTGTAGCTGTCTTGAATGTTGCACTCATACAGTAGAGGGTTTTGAGGGATTCTTATGAAACGGTGTCTCGTCAGCCTCCTCTAATGCTCTAATACAAACGAGCTATAATAAAGAGAGCCTTGTGAATATGTAAATCACATACCTTAATCCAAATACTGGCATGCAAATGAATGTGTACATATTTTAATTGTCTTTCTCCAATTTACACATTCAGTGGGTCTGATATGCGAGGATTCAAATGCAAATGGCCCACCAGTATTTCATTAATACCTTCATAACATGCAGCTTTTAAGCACAATGATAAGTTAATTCCTCAGTTCGTATAATCTTATCTCCCACAAGACTCCTAGCCTGCCTTAAGAAGACAGGAACAGCGCTCAAATGCTATTAGAAGGAACACTATTAAATCCCACTATCACCCAAAATGTACATCTTCATAATGTGCAATTGGAAAAAAAATTAAGTGCATCATTGCCTCTGCTGTGCTTCGTGAACAGTAATCATGTGCTATGCCTCATTTAATGTAGCATGAATGCTGTGTGGTACTGTAGGTTAGTTTAACACATTTAACAACATTTATAGAGTGACTTTGGTGCGTTTTTGTTTATCTAGGTGGTCATGTTGAGACAGAGAAAGGATGGACAGGCGGATGGGGATGCTGTGGACAGGATGGACAGCTCTAAACCTACATGGAAGGTACATGTGTTGTAGTTCTTTTAAGTTGGATTAGCATAAATTTGAATATTTAAATTTTGGATAGTGCTTAAAATAGCCTTGTGTGCTAAAGCGTTCTAAAGTACATTTCTACAAACATTTACTTACTAATAGTGTTTTACTTTTAAAGGGTAATATCACGAAGACATTTTCGTGGAACTTAAGGATCAAAGAGACTGAAAATAGCCATATAGAGTAAAACTACATTATGACTAACATTATAAGTGGAGGGAGTAGTAAATTTAAATAGTAAAAACTAAATAAATGATAAGACCTTTTAAAGCTAAATCTTTAACGGGGCATTCTGTACATTATTCTGTAAAATATAATGTTCAGTTATGACACAATGCAAATGTCTTACCAAAGTAAACTACTGTTCAAAACTTTGGGTCATTAAGATTTATTTATTTATTTATTGGAGAGAAATAATACTTTTATTCAGCAAGGATGCGTTAAATTGATCAAACGTGACAGAATAATATCTGTAATGTTACAAAAGATTTCTATTTCAAATAAAACTATTTTTCTAATAGAATCCTGACAAATGTATCACGGCTAGTGGTCGACCGATATTGTTTTTTTGACAGCCGATGCCGATATCTTGGAAAGCAGGGTGGCCGATGGCCGATATAAAGCCGATATAATTTTATTTATTTTAATTAATATTTAAGAAATTTAAAAATGGATTAAAAAATAAATGTGTTAAATAAACATGCTTATACTTTAGATGACTATTTAAGAAGTATTTTTCACAAATAAATAAATATTTAATAAAAAATATAATAAAAAAGGAAGTAAACACTGCAACCAACAGGGCACTCAGTATTCTGGGAAGTTTGTGTGCATTGGGAATCATATTTTTAAGGTAAGGTAACACTCATTTTAGATACAGCACAAAGTGAAAATGACATTAATATGGCAGTGGGCAAATGCATAAAGCGCAGCATAATTTGAAATCACAAGTTTAAAGTTTGTCGATCGCGCGTCTCCAGTGAAGCTGAACTCTCCTCCTGTCCGCATTTAATTCACACGGATCAACCGTCACGCAGAGAACACGCGATCATGCAGGATACAAATGCACACTTCACAAGATCTCACAACTGGATCCGACTAAGTTTGCAAGGCCTTTCTATTACTAATAATATAAAAGCAATCGTTATAATACTTTTTGTATACATTTTAATTCCGTTGTTTAACCGTTCTATCTGATTATTAGACAGATTTCTGTCCATATTAGACAGAGCTGTTAACGACGACAGCGAACAAGAGGGAGAATGTGAGCACTGTGCTCAGGCGCTGCCGTTCTCAGCGCCGTCAAAATAAAAGTCCCGCCTCAAACGCATCGGCCAAACAGGAAAACTTATCGGCCGATGCCGATATTTAAAAAAAATGCCAAATATCGGCCGATATATCGGCCTTGGCGATATATCTGTCGACCACTAATCACAGCTACCACAAAATGTTAAGCAGCACAACTGTTTTCAACTGATAACAATAAGAAATGTTTCTTGAGCAGCATATTAGAATGATTTCTGAAGGATCATGTGATGGAAGTAAGGGCTGCTGAACATTAAGCTTTGCCATCTCAGGAATAAATGTAATTTTTAAACATACTTAAATAGAAAAGCTATTTTAAATTGTAATAGCATTCCACAATATTGTTTTTGCTGTATTTGCTCAAATAAATGCAGCCTTGGTGAGCATTAGAGACTTTTAAACGTTAGTGTATGACCCTATAGGTTTTATCATTACTTACACCTTGCAACAGTTTATATCTGAGGCACTGGTCCAAAAGGAATCCCTCCTGCTCTAATACCTCTCTCACAGATGGTATTTTCTTCGCTACTGAGAAATAAACTGCATTGATTATGCGCCAAGTGCGTTTGCCCTTCAACCTTCAGCACAGGCTGCTAAATTGTCTCCTGTCTCTGGGTGTGACTCACTTCTAGCAGTCAGCAAGCCAACAGGAGTCTGGTCAATAGGAGAATTGTGAATTGCTCTTAATCTTTGATCCTGTGGTTCATTGTTTAAATATCACCTTATCTTTTATTTATGTATGTGAAATACAATTTATTGATTTTCTGTAGTGCGATTTTTTTTCAATGCAGCAATATCGATTTGCTCATTAGTACACAAAATTAGTTTGGGAGCAGATATTAGATTGCAGTTTCATTATGAAAGTCTGTCTTTAAAGTCAGCATGAAAAGAAAATGTACCCTATTTTCTGTTTCTATCTTTTCTAAATGCTTGTTATAGAGCTTATTGTGAGTGAAAAAAATTGACCTTAGATCTGACGCTATTTCAACTTCATCCTGACTATAAGACAGACTTATTGAACACACTTTTTTTTTCATGTTAACGTATTTCCTATTGAAACAGGAGGTTGTGACAGGATTTAAAGGTATTACATTTGTAAATTTACTAAGATATAGAATATTTTTGTTAGCTTTTAGGAGTGCTGTAGCATATAGATGAGCTTATACTTAACAGAATCCAAATAATAAAACTCCAAATTTGATTTCATGGGGTCTTTAAGGAGCTGATTGTTGATTGTCAGACAGTCAGTGTTGTGTGTCAGCATTTTTCTGAAAGGTTACTGAATCTGAAACGGTAGCTAAAACTGCTCCTAATGAGGAAGAACATTGCCCTGCTGACTGTTTGATACTTCACTGTGTCTGATTCACTGTCTCTTCAGCAGTCTGTGTGTGTGTGTGTGTGTGTGAAGCTCTTTAAGTTCTCAACTTGTGCCATTTATTAATAGAGCTCTTCCAGATGCCATTCATGTTCTGGCTTTTCTGAGTTTATTTTAGATCATTACTGTCAGATATTATATATAAGTAGTCAGAAGGAAATCTGGACTGAGAAATATTTTTAAATATTTTTTTTCAAAATGTGAGGGAAGAATAACTCTGATGGCTACTATTATAATTTCTATAATTGTATTTTAATAGAACAAGAGCAAAACATGTTTTGGTGGGTTTCTCCTGGGTGTTGTTTTAGCACCTGAAAGGTTGCGGTTCGTAATATTACACCTTTTATTACAGAGGAAGATAATGAAAATGCCTGCAGGCTTTTCCCAAACATACCTTTTTTGTGAAATGTACAATTGTAACAGAAATGTCTTACATTTATGTAAATTTGCAGTTGACTTCAAACTGCATGTGTGATTAGTAACAATGAATCATATAGAGCTGGATAGAGAGGATGAAAGCAGACAGAAGTAGATTGCCAGAGACGGCAGACCTGGTCCAGACTCTGTGTCTCTCTGGAGAGCTGGCTCAAGCCTCCCTGGAGGGCAGAAATATGGCTGATAGTCCCTGTGGTTCATGGCTCATCAAATACTTGAAACAAAGTTTAGCCTGTCAAAGGCCGACATGGGTTTTTCTGCGGACTCCCAGTAGAGTGACTGAGAGGGTTCTGCAAAATTTCTGATAAAGCTATGAAAGTCAAAGATCATAGCATATGAGGGCATTTTTAAGAATGGCCATTTTGCACCATGTGGACTTTTTATGTGGGAGTTAAACCACATTTCAAGTTATGTATTGCGTTTAATAGCATTCCCTGGTAAAAGGTGGTTGAATTGACACATTGTGTCATAAATAAAAGGCATCCTAGGTCTTGCTAAGTATAATTTCATTTCTGGCAATTAATATGTCCCAAATACACACATACATTTATTTATTTATAAAAAAAAAAAAAGTGACGTGACATGTGGCCAAGTATGGTTACCCATACTAGGAATTAGTGCTCTGCATTTAACCCATCCTAAGTGCACACACACAGCAGTGAACACACACACACCGTGAACACACACCCGGAGCAAAATTGTTTGATAATGCTGGTCAGTGACAAGGGTAAAACAATTAAATCAATATATACAGACATTTGAAAATGTTTACACCTTTTGAAAATATTTTTACAGCCATAAACGTTAAAGTAATAGACAAAGGTCTTTTGTTTTATAGATAAAAGTAAGTGAAATCTAATTGTTTTAATAAAATTTGGTTTGTAGTTCCAAGATAGCACCTGCTAATGAAATAGTAGAATTATTATATGATTTTAATGAAAAGGGGGATTTAAGTGGCACTGTATTAAATTAGTATATTTTGAGCAATTGCAAATGTAAATATAAGGGGTAAATGTTATAAAATGTGAGAGACAAGAAATTATAAATGAGTTGTCTTTGGCGGACTGCCTGCTGTGCTTCTGAATCTCGGAGCTCTCTCTGAAGAATTATTTAATTAACAGCATGTAATTCAGTTTAATGTCGAGAAGCACATCAGTGCCAATCAGCATTACTGACATCCACAAACAAATATGGCCAAAAACATTTCAGAAAGGCCTCTGTAAAAGTCCTTTTGTCAGCTTTACAGTAGTGATATAGAGTCAAGCACCCCCATGTGCCCTCATTAAATGTGCCTCTATGGAATTCTCCTGTCAGCCCTGAACTGGACGTTTCAGTTTTGAGAAAGCAGACAGTTTTTGGGGAAAAGATACATCTAACCCAGGTTGTATTTTTGTTTCCAGCCTTGAATTTCAAGGCCTGCAAAATCACTAGTGTGGAGGTTTTAATTTGCTCGGCTGTATAAAGTAGGTGGATGAAATGCACGGTCACGATATGATGCATGCGAGAGAACCTCTGAACTCCTGAGGCCATAATTGCAGTCAAGCTGTTTAACTTGCTGACTGTGTTCTTCAGACTCTGACTCAGCGTATTTTGCCTCTCTGAAAATGATTTAGAAGTTTATTTTGGCATTCTGAAGCTCATTTGGGAACCTAAGTGGAAATCAGGGGACCGATAAACAAGTTTTAAAGTTCTCGACTAGGTCTCCATTGCATCACTAACATATCTTTGTGTTTGTGACAGAGGCTTCCCAATGGCTCCATCGATGCCCATGACGACACCAGCAGGTCTCTGGAGCTGCAGGAACTCCTGGATAAGGCCAATAAGGAGCTGGGCCAAAACAGAGAGCGGATCAGCAGCCTGACCAATCGCATGTCTGAGCTTGAGACGGAACTGGCTGCTGCCCGCAAAGACCTATTGAAGAGCGAGGAGATGAGTGCCAAGCACCAGAGGGACATACGTGAGGTTAGAATGATTGGGGAGAGAGGAAAGAGACAGAATGGGGACAGAGCGATGAGGGCTTGTCTCAGGGAAGATAAAACATCAGGCAGTGAGGACATTTTCTCAACAGCTTTATTTTTGCTGAGAGACAGAAGGTTGCAAATAATGCAATTATGACTCATTCCTTGGCAAGGTCTAAAGATTTAGGGTATTTAAAGGAGCTGTTCTCCCAAAAATAATTTACTTTGCAAACTACTATTAGTTATTGTGCCTTGTGTATATGTATATGTGTATGTGTATATTGTGTATATGTGACATAAGGGTCCATTTTTTGAAATTGAGATTTGTTTTTAATTGAGAATAAATAAGCTTTCCATTGATGTATGGTTTGTTAGGATAGGACAATATTTGGTCGAGATACAACTATTTGAAAATCTGGAATCGAGGGTGCCAAAAAATCTAAATATTGAGAAAATCACCTATAAAGTTGTCTAAAAGAAGTTCTTAGCAATGCATATTACTAATCAAAAATGAAGCTTTGATATATTTACGGTAGGAAATTTGCAAAATATATTCATGAAACATGATCTTTATTAATATCCTAATGATTTTTGGCATAAAAGAAAAATCGATAATTTTGACCCATACAATGTATTGTTGGCTATTGCTAGAAAAATACCCGTGCTACTTACGACTGGTTTTGTGGTCCAGGGTCACATATGTATATGTGTGTGTTTATGAGGACTTTGCCTCCTCATTTCAGGACACCACTGCAGATCACTGAAGTCTGTCATTCCAGTTATGACTTTCTGATTAAAAAATATATGTTAAACATTCACAGGTGAAGCATTCAAAATAGGATCAATAAGATGTATTAAGAAAATAGACTCTAAGGGTGCTTTCACACTAGCACTAGGTGCGCACCCGGGTTCGTTTGACGTCAGAGTTGGATAATGTGAATGCTGTTTTCTGAACCCACATTCTTTTGAATCTTTTGAATCATGACACATGAGCTGTTCTGTGTTAACACTTTGCAAACAAATCTAAGTTTTCAAAATCCGAAGCACCAAAGTGAAGCGAGCAAGCATCCATTCATTTTGCCGACTTCTGCATAAACGTTGCATTAGAGATAAACAGTTGACACTTTGATGACACAAATGTACTCTGGTACAGAACCAAAAAACTACCGTGTGAACACAATCCAGTGGGGGTAGTGGAGGTCGGATCAAATTCTAGTGAATTTCAATTGTATGCCGATTTTAATCAGTTTCATTGTTTAGATTACTTTTCCATAAGTTGTTGTAGGGTTTTCAAACTTCCCAAGGGTTTTTGTTTTCTCTTACTATGTGCCTGTTCGACAGGCGATGGCACAGAAGGAGGACATGGAGGAGCGAATCACAACATTAGAAAAGCGTTACCTGGCCGCCCAGAGAGAAACCACCTCGATCCATGACCTGAACGACAAGCTAGAGAACGAGCTGGCCACCAAGGACTCACTTTACCGACAGGTATGCCAACCTTGAATCAGGCCTGTGCTGATTTGAAGTTAATTTCAAGTATGAGCGCTGTAGGTCTGTGCTGGTTGATGTCCCATAATGCAGTTGAGATGTTCTGAGAGTCATGTTCCATCTGTGCCTGTGCGTATGAAGGGTGCATGTTAGTCAGAGGGGGTTTAATTAGCCCTAAAGCAGCAGACTCATGCTGGAATGCTTCAGAATCCTTCAGCACACTGAGAAGAGGCATGCTGGGAGGAAGCAGGTACCGCCCGACTGTTTTAATATCCAGATCCATCAGCTGGAGAAAGAAAGAGGATTCCCAACTGCATTGATGTTGGAGCCAGTTTGGACAGAGTGTTTGTTATGAATGCAGAGGGTATAAATATCTTAAAAGAGATGGATAAATCAAGACATCTGCTCTTGTATAGACAGCATGTGTTTTGTGCTTTTGCGCTCAAGGCAGGGATGTCGTCAGGGGGGACAACCAGGAACGTTGCTTTGGGTCCTAGCCCACTTATTGGGCCCAGGGAGAATTGGGCAGACCTAAAAAAAAAAATGTTGTCCCAGGCCATGTGAATATTCACAGCGGCCCTGTTTAAGCCTATGAGAATGAAAAACTGCATTACATCACATTGATTTTACAGTGATAGATACAGTACACTACCCTTAAAAAGTTTGGGGTCAGTAGATTTTTTATATATTTTTTTGGCATTGAAGACGTTCATAATGTTACAAACAATTTCTACTTCAATTAAATGCTGTTCTTTTTGAACTTTCTATTCATCAGAGAAACCTGAAAAAAAATATTATCACAGTTTCCAGAAAAATATTAAGCAGTACAACTGTTTTCAACATTGATAATAGTAAGAAATATTTCTTGTGCAACAAATCATCATATTAAAATGATTTCTGAAGGATCATGTGACGCTGTTAATTAATAGATGCAGAAAATTAAGCTTTGCCATCACAGAAATGAATTACATTTTAAAATATATTAACACAGAAAGCAGTTGTTTTCATTTGTAAAAATATTTCACAATATTACGATCAAATAAATGCAACCTTGGTGAGACTTTCTCCAAATACATAAATACCTTAACGACCCCAAACTTTTGAACAGTAGCGAATAATCCAAATTTTGACTTTGAAACTTTCATTTGAATCATGTGTATGTACTTTGTGTGTTTGTACACTGGTGGTTTGTTTTTATGTGCACTTATTTATTTTGTGTTGTGTGTGTGCTTCCTTTTTTAAATGTACTGTATGGTATGTTTTCGTTCACGTGTGTGTTTTGAGTACCTTGTAACCTTGTGTGGGTCTTACCTTTGTATCTCAATATCTGTGTGTTCTTCTAAAATGGGGGTGTCTACATGAACGTACACCCTCTGTTTGTCTTATTTTTGTGCGGTTTGCATGCACTTGTCTTTTTATCAGAGCGAGGAGACGGTGCGACACCTCCAGGAATTGCTGGAGTTGGCGGAACAACGGCTACAGCAAACTATGAGGAAGGCGGAGACTCTGCCCGAGGTGGAGGCTGAACTGGCCCAGAGAGTGGCCGCCCTCACCAAGGCGAGTACTCAGTCACTTCTCCAGACAACAGCAGCAGGAAAAAATGAGAGAGTCAGTTCATAAGATTATTTTCTGTCAGGAAAATGCCCTCTGAGATGGTGATAAGGTAATGATAAGGTAAAGAAGGGCGGAAACTGTCATGAAAAGATTACACAGCAGGATTAGATATGAGATAAACAACAGAAGCTGTTCAAAAGACCCACTGAGACATGATTTAGAGAAACATCTAAAAGTTCTATGATGGGTCAAGACCCAATTTTAGGTTGCAGGTATGTTCTAACTGGATCATGGAAATCAGGAAAAAAAAAAGAAGAAGAAAAAAAAGAAAAGTGAATGGCATATTAGGCAGATGTAGATATTAAGCTAAACAATTGACATTAAGCAAATGCCAACATTGTTTAACCAAAGTATGTGTGATATAATAAATACACCCCATATTACTAATATTAATATGATGCTATTTTAGTTTATAACTTAAATTCAGTTTGATTCCAAGGCAATAGTTTTCATTTTCATTTAGATTAAATTTGTTTTTATTTTATTTCAGTTAATGAAAATGTTGTTGAACAGATTTAGTTTTAATTTAATTTAGTTAATTACTCAATAGGTAAATCACATTTGTGCTATTGTTGATATCATGTTGATAATCTTTAATATTTTGGACCTATAGAGTTCATGGTACTGTAATTAAGATTGTTGTTTTCAAGCAATTTTGGTGGGTCTTTTCAGTGTTGGGTTTCCACTTGATGTCCAAAGTAGAATTTGGATCTTGAAGCAAAACCAGTTTAGGATCACTTAATAAAGAAAAAAAAAGGTCAGAACTGAGGCCTAGTGTCAGGCAGCGTGCTTTCCGACACATTGAGCTATGGTGCTCATGTAAGTTTGAGTCTGGCATTATTTTTTCATCCTGTTTCAACCCTTTTCCCATCAGTTGTGTCCTTTCTCTTGTTATAAGTGTCAAAAAAGATTTAAAAAATACAGCTGTAAATAAATATAAATAAATTCATTACATTTATATAGCGCTTTTTTAGGCACTCAAAGCGCTTTACATTGTCAGGGGGTATCTCCTCATCCACCACCAGTGTGCAGCATCCACCTGGATGATGCGACGGCAGCCATAGTGCGCCAGAACGGCCACCACACACCAGTTTATTGGCGGAGAGGAGACAGAGTGATGAAGCCAATTAGCAGATATGGGGATTGTTAGGAGGCCATGATGATCAAAGGACAATGGGCAAATTTGGCCAGGATGCCGAGGTCACACCTCTACTCTTTTCGAAAGACATCCTGGGATTTTTAATGACCACAGAGAGTCAGGACCTCGGTTTAACGTCTCATCCGAAGGACGGTGCTTGTTGACAGTATAGTGTCCCCGTCACTACACTGGGGCGTTAGGACCCACACAGACTGCAGGGTGAGCACCCCCTGCTGGCCTCACTAGCACCTCTTCCAACAGCAACCTAGTTTGATGGTCAGAGGCCAATGGGCGAATTTGGCCAGGATGCTCTTTTCGAAAGACATCCTGGGATTTTTAATGACCACAGAGAGTCAGGACCTCGGTTTAACGTCTCATCCGAAGGACGGTGCTTGTTGACAGTATAGTGTCCCCGTCACTACACTGGGGCGTTAGGACCCACACAGACCACAGGGTGAGCACCCCCTGCTGGCCTTACTAACACCTCTTCCAACAGCAACCTAGTTTTCCCAGGAGGTCTCCCATCCAGGTACTGACCAGGCTCAGCCCTGCTTAGCTTCAGTGGGCAACCAGTCTTGGGCTACAGGGTGATATGGCTGCCGGGTTTTGTATTGTATTGTATTGTATTGTATTGTATATAATAAAGCACTCCATTGCATCAGCCATCAGACATCCACAGGTAGAGCTGATATTTCTCTTCTACAGGCTTCCTCACTCTGTAGCAGTCACATTTCATCTGAACATCAGCTCGAATTGTGGATGACAGTGTTTTTGTCTTGTCAGAGTGGCAGAGAGGCAGTGGGGTTTTGTTTATAGTCTCGCTAATGTAGTTAATTAAAAATGGCAACTTTTCTCATTCTCAGTCAGTGGCATCCTGTCATACACCTCATGCTTCAAATAATACAGATCCATGGCTGACCTTAAACCAGAATTTCTCCTTCCTAAGATCCTATTTATATGCTATCACCGGGCTATAGAGAAACCGAATAATACAACAACATGCACTGAAAAAAACTATACTTTGATTTCTCATAGCCTTATTTTCATTTTAAATATGGTTTTTGAAAACAGATTTGACAAGCATGTTTCTGTGACGAATAAAATACAAGCAATTAAATCTAAATCTCTTTCTTGCTAAATGTGAAGTGTCTAATCTCTGAAGGTTTTAGTCCCGCTGTTGCTCTTTATACTAATGTCAGTGTTTCCTGTAGGCGGAGGAGAGACATGGCAACATCGAGGAGCGTTTGCGCCAATTGGAGGCCCAGCTGGAAGAGAAGAACCAAGAGCTGGGCAGGGTGAGGACTGGGTTGGGGTCATGACACCAAAAGAAAAAGGAATGCTGAGTTTGTCACTGAATGAGTGAATGTTGGATAGAGGAAAGATGAGATATGAGGGAGTAAATGAGAGAGTGGCTTTGGTTCATTACGCTGTGTGTGTGCATGTGATTTTGATTTGTTTTAAGTGCACATAAGAATGAACACTATAACCAGTGTTTGTTTTTGTTTTTGTGAGTGTGTGCGAATGTTCATATGCTTGGCCACAATGTCTCCACAAAACTTGAAATAACCCACATCAGATGGTTCGTATTAGGGAAAAGTAAATAAACAAAATATCAAAATGAAAATGTAAAACGGTAAATGATTTGGCTCAGTATAATGTTTGTTTAGCCATATTGTCCCTAGCAGTTTGTATTACACACACTTATAGGTCACACTTCACAATAGTTACATTTGTTAACATTAGTTAACTACGCTAGTTAACATGGACCTGAGCATGAACTTAGTTTACTGTATATTAATTTCAACATTTACTAATACATTATCAAAATAAAAAAATGGTATATTATTTAATGGACCTTTATTAACTAACATTAACAAAGCTGAAAATATATATTTATATATTGTGTTACCATAATGGATTAATAATTTAATTTAATAAATAATATAATGTAATACTTATATATGAAATATATTTTAATATAATATATCATAAAATAATATAATATATATTAAATGTATTTTAATATATCATATTTAATATACACTTTTTCACTTTTGACAATAGAATAGAAGTTAATGGACATGTATAACCATAATTTAATGACAATGTTCTTTTATTTTAAAACCGTAAACATTTTTGTTTGGGTTTCAAGGTTAGTCTGTAGTTATTTCGATTAGATTTAAATAAAAACAATATAAGTATACGGTCCGAGTTTCTGTGTGTGTGTGTGTGTGTGTGTGTGTTTGTGTTAAGGAAGACGTGTAACCTGTTGCACAGTAGGTCTTGACCAGGCCTGCAGGCGGTGTGTTCGACCTCACTGTGGGAACTCTGCGGCCTGACTGCTCTGATTAGCCTGTGCTGCTTTGTGTCTTCTTCTGTTTTTTACACACACAACAGAGGCAAACAAAGATCGATAGGCTAGCACTCCTGTACAAACACACTCACACACACATGCTGCTGCTCTGAGAATATGGGACATTTTTTTAGCTCATCTTGAATCAGCTGAATTTCCCCACCCCCAGTGAGAGCAGAGCTGTAATTGGCTGCTATATTTAGATTTTGAATTATTCATGCATGGTTAATTTCCTTCTGTGTGTGAGCTGATGATTGTAATGACTTAAAGCAGTCAAAGAGAGTCCTTATCCTCCTTCAGCCTTAATTAAACCTTGATACTTACACCTCAGACTGGGCTTGAGCTCCCGCTCTTTCCTGACAGTCACAATGCTCTGTGTTGACTACATTTTAAAGACCGTTGCCACCAAAAGAAAATTAAGATTTTGTTGCCAGGCAACTGAGTGCCCATATCCTGCTGCAACTGTGTTTAAAAGTCATCACCCCTGCATTCAGCTACAAGGACTGTCATTATTCATGTTCTTGAGTGATTATCACAAAATGCACACCAAACACCCTTAGAAATATGTGAGAAATTAGTTGTAAATGCTGAAGCAAAATGTGAACTCTCAAAGGCAGCTATGTGTTTTAATATCATGAACCTGACTTAAAAATCAGACATAAAACTCTTAGAATGTGATGACAGTGCTTCAGGGTGTAATGCTGCCCTCTATTGGTTCTACTGTACGTAGATTATCAGAAAAACAAATTCCAGTCTAGTTGTACTCTTAAAATAAAGGATGTTGTTTCATACTCCCCTTTTTTTTCTTGCTTCCTTTTATCTTCTCTGCTCGCTGTCACTCTTTCTCAGGCTCGGCAGAGGGAGAAGATGAACGAGGAGCATAACAAGCGTCTGTCTGACACTGTGGACCGTCTTCTCACAGAGTCCAATGAACGGCTTCAGCTGCACCTGAAGGAGCGCATGGCTGCGCTGGAGGACAAGGTACAGATTTTACAATACCCACCTGCACATACTACTGTACACATTTGACCATTTGATCAGCCGATGCTTAAAGAGTATTTAAGCAAACATAGAACACACTGACACAAGGGTCTCATTACTGACTGCTTTCCCAGGCCTCAGATTTACATGTGCTGCAGGGAAAAAACAAAAAACAAAACATGAGATATTAACAGCTGTTTTTTGAAAATATTTTTAACATTTAATTTTTTAAATGTTAAAAGAAAATATATTTTCAATTATATATTTAATTAAAATTTTTCAGCATTGGCAAATAATTTTTTACTGTAGCTTTTTTCTTAATGAACATAATTAAAATAAGATAAGAAAAATAAGATTGCTCACGTTAATTGTAAAAAATATCTAAATTATCTATTATTATTTTTTATTCATAAGAAATTAAATGTTGATTATGTTGATTTATTTTCTTAATGTGCATTCATCTTATGAAACTATTTAAATTATTATTTAAATTATTTACATCAAACATTATATATTATTAAATGATAAATTAATTCATTTAAATTATTAAAGATATTAATATTTATGTCCATATTTATAGTCTGCCTTTATCCTAGAGCGTGCACGGCCATATTCTGTAAATCGCTTGTGAAAAACATAGGTATAAAGGTTTTCTGTTCAGCTTGAATGAATAGAACCCAGTCCTTTCCTCTTTTGAGCTGTAAGCTGAGATGACAGAAGTGGCCAGATGTGAAGGGACAGGCTGAAGCACCACACGTAGAGAGAGATAGAGAGAGAGAGAGAGAGAGAGAGAGAATGTGCAGGTTATCTTTGGCACAACGTGCTGCTTAAATCTTAGTCAACTTTGTTTCGTTTGTTTTTTTTCCCCCATTCCCCCATCAAGAATGCACTCATCCATGACCTGGAGAATTCCCAAAAACAACTGGAAGAGTTCCATCACAACAAGGTACAGTGGCACTGCGCATTAATATAACACAGATCTGCAGAACATGAGCAACAGCCAGGAGTGTTGCAGTTACAAGAGATAACCGAGGAGCATAACATGTCCATGGACTTTTCTTAATTAACATCAAGTGTTTAAGTTAGGATATTTATATGAACGTATAAAGAAGTGTGTAAGTGTTTATACTGTAGATCAGAGGTCAGCAAGTAAGTTTGGCATCGGGCCAAAAACTATTTTCGCCACTAGATGGTGGGCCAGAGCAGAGCCAAAGGATAATTTAAGAAATTAATTGATGAAAAATGCAACTAGAATTGCCTGTGACAGTGTCTTTTGTAACTGGTAGTGAGCCGTTACTCTGTGTTAAATCCTGTAGTAGGACAGTCATTAACAAAAAGCCACATTTGTGTGGCGGTGTCCGGGTTTTACACTGGATAAATTAATAAAGCAGAGTACTGACACGTAACCTGGCAAGTATCTTCATTGTCAATCTTTTTGATAAAAAGGAAGCTGAATTTGCTTTGTTATTGTTCACGTGTTGGTGCTGAGGCCCCGCGTTATAAGCAAACGTTTCAATGGTTCACTGTTTTTTCATACCACACATTTCATGACGTCTATTTTAGAGGTGTGTCTAGCGATCCACAGACTCTTTAGAATGTCTTTCAGAACTTTTCAAATCAAAAGCTCTCAATTAATCTCAAAATAAAACATTGCTGCAAAAACGTTCTCGTACTTTTATTTTGAAGGCAAAATCACTAAAGACGAAGTGATTGTGAGTAACTGTTGCTGTCATGACAGATCTATTTCAGAACCAGCCGCAATCAAAATAATCTGGCTGTGGGCACGGGCCAGATATTATTGCTGGCGGGCCAGTTTTGGTTCTTTGGTTAGCCTGTTGCCGACCACTGACACGTAACCTGGCAAGTATCTTCATTGTCAATCTTTTTGATAAAAAGGAAGCTGAATTTGCTTTGTTATTGTTCACGTGTTGGTGCTGAGGCCCCGCGTTATAAGCAAACGTTTCAGTGGTTCACTGTTTTTTCATACCACACATTTCATGACGTCTATTTTAGAGGTGTGTCTAGCGACTAGTTTTGGCTCGCGGGCCACCTGTTTCCGACCACTGCTGTCTCCCATTTCTTTCTTTTTTTAATTATTATTTTTACTTTGGCTTTTGTATGTTCATTTTATAGTGTCCTGCAATGTGATTTTTTAAAAATGCTAATATTTATTTAAAATATATATATACATAAACTACTAATCAAACATTTAAGGTTGGTAAGATTTTGTATTGTTTAAAAAAAAATTTTTTTTATCTTTTTTGTTTTTAAATTTAAAATACTCATGCTGACAAAAGCTGCATTTATTTGATCAAAAATACAGTAAAACAGTAATATTGTGAAATATTATTGCTACTTTAAAAAAAAAATTTTATTTTAATATATAGTTTTAAATGTAGTTTATTCCTGTGATGGTAAAGATGATTTTTCAGCAGCTAAAGAAGCATTTTTGTGTTAATATTTTTCAGGATTCTTTGATTAAAAAAAAGTTACAAAGAACAACATTTATTCAAAACAGAAATCTTTTGTAGCATTATAGATGTCTGTACTGGCACTTTGATCAATTTAATGCATCTTTGAGGAATAAAGTATTCATTTATTTTTAAAAATCTATTTTAAAATTATTATTATGATCTTATTTTGATCTTTATTCATTCGAGTTCATAAAAGTGGTTTTCATAATAAAGAAAGAATTGACTAATCAAGTGTTTTTTGGTTGTTTAGGAGAGGCTTATTGGGGAGATTGAGAAGTTACGGGCTGAACTCGATCATCTGAAGCGCAGGAGCGGTGCGTTTGGAGACGGAACACATCCTAGGTGACATCCAGATTTAAACCGTTTATAGTATTTTGTTATATAATGAGCCCTATTTTTATCTGCTCGTTAAAAGTGATGTGCTAAGTAGGCCTCTCTCTGTTGACCCGGTCTTAGGTCTCATCTTGGCAGTGCCACAGACCTGCGCTTCTCAGTGGTGGAAGGTCAGGGAGATCACTACTCCTCCACAGGGGTCATACGACGGGCTCAGAAAGGTCGAATGGTGGCACTCAGGGATGAACCCACCAAGGTGTCAATGTCACACCTACTGTACATCTCCATCTGTCACTGTCATAAACCAAAACTTGTTGTAACATGTACTGTACTGGTATAACTGTAGTCACTGGCAGACCTTGGCCTTGTAAACTAATTTCTCCCTATTCTTTTCTTTTGCCTCGTTGGATGTGTTCGTTGTAAGTTCCGGGTTCTCTAATCCACTTCAAAAATGTTGATAGCCAATCAGATCTTACTGAAACACTAATATCTGGAAGCCTGATTTGTAAACTCCACAAAGTAACCCTGATCCATGTCTTTATTTCCAGATCCTGCCGATGGTGGAGCAGGATTGGGATCGCTCTCAGCCCTCCAGCTTGCGAGCCAGCCGTACTCACCTGATGGGAAGCGACACTGAGCTGTCTGACCTGGACGATGAAGACCGTGAGACCATATTCAGCTCAGCCGATATGCTGTCTCCCAGCGGGCACTCAGACGCCCAGACGCTTGCCCTCATGCTGCAAGAACAGCTGGATGCCATCAATGAGGAGATCAGGTTGGGATACAGACTTTTAAGAGTGACAATATGGAAATCTTGTTTTGTTTTTGAGCAGCTGCACAGCAAGAGCCTGAGTTCTGCATGAGCTAGTGCCACTTACATTTTGTTCAAAAAGCTTTTTAAAACTGTTGAAGCATAAAGTTTATGACTAAGCGCTAACTTAGCAGCATAAATGGGTCGTTCAGAGTGCATCAGTTCTGATGTCAGAACTATCAACACATTAACATGTGACAGTCCGTATTTATTTATCATCAACTGTTCAGTATTCATCATTATGATGGGGGCATTGTTACTCATTTAACTTGTGAAGACGTTAGCCAGTCAACAGAAGTCATTTTCATAAGTCTAAAAGGTACAGTAGCTAAAATAGGCTGTTTAATTTGTTTTTGGTGGACAAAACATTGACTAACATTATAAGGAATTTATAATTAGTGTTGCATATTGGCTCTTTAACTTACTGCCAGCTTAAAGACCCCCTTAAAAGAGTAGAAAAGCCCTTTAACAGTTCAGGGTTACACTTTACAATATTTGCTTTAGTATATGAATGCTTTAAATCTGACATATCTTGTGACTTGTGACTTGTGAAATCTAATCATGTGCCTCGAGTATATCAGCTTAAATTCTTAAAATGTCATGTTCAGTTGTTTTATTGATCCAAGCTTGTGCTCTAAACTCATGCTTTGTTGAACAGAAGGGTGACCAGTTACAGCCAGAGCCAACTTTCTTCTCAAACTCAATGACCTTTTTTTGATTTCAGAATTCATTGACCCTGCAGGCAGACTAAAAGAGCACCTGTGTGTCTCTGTGCTCTGGCGGCCCGCAGATATAACTAGAACGGTAACAGAAACTGTCAGGCAGGCCAAAAACTTCATTCTAAATCCAAACAGTGCTCTGAAGCTTGTCCTGATACCGAGCTGTCTGGATTCCTTTCAGCAGCACAAAGCGCTGGAGGTGGAACATCTGTCATATATGACAATATTTGTGAGTTCTGAGTTGTGGATAAATGTAAATGCCAGACAATAGCAGAGCTATCACCTGAAATGTGCAGCAGTGTGCAGATAGCAGTGACTCATGACCTGAGCTGTGGCTTAAACTCATGAGGGTTCAACAGACTATACTTCCAGGGCATGAATATTAACATATATCAACAGTAAGAGGAGTCCTGGTGACATTTTCTTTGAAGGCTGAATACATAATGTCCTATAAAGCTGTTAGTAGTGCATTTTATGGTTTCCCAATTAATTCTAGCCACCGTTATAATGTATTATATGTGCAGTATAGAATATATACATATTCAGGGGTGTGCATAAGTGGTGTGGAGGTGTTTAAATAAGTTCAGACC